ATATATACACACATATATATATATATATACATATATATATATATACACATATATATATATATATACACATATATATATATATACACATATATATATATATATACACATATATATATATATATATATATATATATATATACACATATATATATATATATATACACATATATATATATATATATATATACACATATATATATATATATATATATATATATATATATATATATATATATAGCGGAAGAATTTGTTGAACTAAAAAGATAAATTTGACTTGACTTGAAATGTGCCCTTATATAAGTTTTTCTTTTTCTAAATGTTACATGAATTAATATGATTGACTTGACTTTGAGTTGTCGTATTATAAAAGTTTTATTATATGGTTGGCTTGACATGACTTGACTTGGGATGTCCTATTATAAAAGTTTTATTAAATAGTTAACTTGAATGGTTGACTTGACTTGACTTACTCGAAAGATAGTTTGTATGTGAAGGTTAAAAATAATGCAAAATAACATCAATTAGAGAAAAGAGTATGATGAATTCTTGAAATTTTTTATTTTTTTTTTGGATTTTCTCAATAGCTATTACTTTTTTATAATTTACAAAGAGTATCCTATTTATCATAATCCTTGTAATATTCTTCTGACAAGATAATTAGATCAATACTTAATTATATCATATGAATCGATCCATAGGTAAATGATTGAATTCATAAATTACAGCATTGTTAAAACTAAAGTGTTTTGAAAAGTTTATTAAAAAATACTATAACTGATATATAAGTCTTTATATTTGATTGCTCTTGTTCATAAACTAATAAAAATATTTATTTGAAATCATGTTTTTTATTTGAACGGTTTCATTTATATGTACTACTATTTTATGGTTGTTCTTGTTATTTTCTTTCTATTTCTTCTAAAGTTGTCTGAATTATAATTTTTCTAAACATGAAGTTTTTTCTAAAAAAAATTAATTAACAAAATGAATGGGTAAAAAAGTCAATCCAAAGATTATAACCTTGAACAAGAAATCGAGATCTTCCCCTAAAACTCTTAGGAGTATAGGCCTCCTCGTAGTTAAAGATAGAGAAAATCATCCTAAATATGATGCTATTGGGAGAAGTTTTGTATTGTTTGAAGATCTAGTTATTTTTAGCCTTCCAAAATCACCAAAGAATGTAACCAAGGCTCTCAAAGTAGAGAAGACTTTAGAGTAACATCTGACCCTTCATGGAGCCAGGTATGACCGTGCCAAGTATCAAAGGAAGAAAAGATCCATAGTTGGGTTTCAAAGGATTTACATAGTATAGCTATTGTAAGGTAGAAGAAGAAGAGGTGATATTGAAATTCCTATTGGTATTCAGCAGAAATGATATGAATTAGAGGTAGAAAAACCAAATATAACAAATATATTCAAAGTGGGGAGGCAGTGGTGTAACAACTTATAAGCAAAAAAATTGATCTAGTAAATTAGAAGCTACCATAATCGACACCACTAATATGTTGAATCTTAGATTTTAATGAAATCAATCGATATGTGTTTATATTTTAATCTGCATTTTGAGTGACGTAGGATGCTTCGATTGGGATGAGATAATTAAAACAGGAAAAATCATGTTGTGCCGGAGGAAAACATGTCAGCAGATTGGACGTCAAGCCGGAGGAATAGTCGATGTATCGACAGAAGGCTTCGGGCTGTGGATTCGGGCATGGGGCTAAGAAAAGCGGATATTGTGCCAAGGATATCAAAGTTGCGGAGTCAACTGGCCGATTCGGCAATAGACTGCAAGAGAGGACAATGCGCCGAAGAATCGAAAAAAACGTCGAGGGACCAATGATATGCCAGACAATTTAATTAATGCTTAGTATTAATTGTCTAGATCAAAGTGTGTTTTATATATACAGGATTAACTATGATAGCAAGGCATAAAGCAAAATAAAGTCCCGGAGTCCATGACGCGACTTCCTTGGGAGTTCGAGAGTTCGTCTAAAGTCCGGACGTTCGTCGAAAGTTCTAGCGGAACCAACCGAGAAGTCTCGGAGCTTACCAGAGAAGCTCATCAGAACTCACCAAGAAGATCGTCGTGAAGTCCATGAGCTTGCTGGGAGTCCGCCGGAATATTATCGAGAGATCGTCGGAAGTTTACCGGAAGATCGCCGGAAGAAACCAAGACATAGGGACTTATTTAGCTTAGCAAATGTCTTAGGAATCATAGTTAGTACGTAATTAGGTTTGGATTTGGGCTAACCTAATTAAGGGCCAACTAGGCCCATGTAAAGACTATGTTGGGCCCAATAAGAGGTCCAAATAGTACCCTAAGAAGTCTCACCGTCATGGCACAGTCTTCGAGACTATGTCAAACGGTGGTACCGTTAGTCTAGGCGGTTGTACCGCCCTTAGCAGGGTGCCAGGAGGTTGTACCGCCCAGCACTGCCCCCCAGGTAGTGCTACCGCCCAGGACAGTGTTAGTGTCAGATTAACACTGGATGGTGGTACCGCCCAACGCAAGCGATGGTACCGTCCATGCCCGAGGAACCTGGGATGGAAAAGTTTTATGCTCCAAGTTTGAATAAACTTGAAGCCTATAAATACCCCTCTCATCTCTAGTTAAAACACACAAGCACAGAGAGTTTAAAAATAAAGAATTGTTGCAAAAATCTCTTGTGAGAATCCTCCCATAGTCTAAGTATTAGAATTCTATTTAGAGAGGAGAGTGAGTGCTCGAAAGGGTTATCTCCTAAACCCGTGAAAAGGAGAAGAAGGGTGTAAAAGATGATTGGCATTCGTCTATTGAAGGAAGGCCTTTAGTGGACGCCAGTGACCTCGTCGGAGAAGAAAGCCGAAAGTGGATGTAAGTCACGTTGACCAAACCACTCTAAAACTGCCGTGTTCTCTGGTTTGCATTTTATTCTTGCTATTACCTTACTGCAAACCTCTTTAAATGCTTACTACATTCAATTTATTTATGAACGTACTTCAAGTTAAGATATTTTCGAGATCGGTTTTCAACGTAAATGGTTTATATCGCAACAAAGTTTTTGAAGACGATTTTACCGTTGTACCAATTCAACCTCCCCCCCCCCCTTCCTAGTGCCAACCTCGCTCTTGATCCTAACATAATCCCGGGAAATTAGCCAAAGTTGAAAAGTAATAAGCAAGTCTAAAGGATGATAAACCATTATTATCAGGATTTTAAAATAAAAAATCATAATTACATGACAAGAAAAACTCAACAAAGGAGATTTTCTTTACAAGAGGGGTACCAAACGAAAAAAAAATCTATGGACCAAAAAATCAAAAACTTTTACATCACATGGCATATATATTTAAAAAAATTAGTTTGAAAGCAAGAGTAGTATAAAAAAATTAGCAAGTATGAAACTTACTGGTAGAAGAACCATCTCTCATAAATTTGCAAAACCCAAATTTCAAGAGATCAATAACTTGCCCAAATAATTTCTAGCAAAAGTTAAAGATATAAGAAGTGATGTTCCAACGTTGGACAATGTCATACCTTGTGTAGGCAACTATGACCTAGATGGTATCAGTATTGTTCAAGTGCTAGGAGATTCTTTTATCTTATAAAGTAAATATAGTAAGGTGCATGTTCTTAATGCCCAGCCTATCAAGAGACTTAGGCAGGGTGATGTTCTAGGAAAGTAAGTGAAGGCCCTTGGAATTCCCATTGTTAAAGAAAAATAATTTCTAAATGAATGAAGATACTTTATTAATAATAATATAAAAAAACTAGAAAACACTCTTATAGTGTTTGGGAATAGAGTTAAGTATATAATTAATCAATATGACACCATCAACTTGAGGAAGTAAGGAGCCCTACCATTGGCACAATTTGTGGTAAGCTGAAGGACATTATCCATAGCTAAAATTGGAATATGATGAGAAGCAATCAGAATTCCAAGGTATTTGAAGAAAAAATTATTTCTTGGATTTTAAACTGGTTGCAAATTACCCTTTTAGTAACTCAATAGATATATTTAAGGAAGAATATTCATATTAATGAATGTTAAGCTTTTGATTGGTAAGCAATTAATGAATGTTAAGCTTTTGATTGGTAAGCTTATTAGTCTTCATAACAAATATAATGTCCTCCTTCACCAAGTTAATCTTTAATGGTGGTCTCACACCAAGGTTAAATGGATTAATGATGGGGACCTCAACACTAAATACTACCATGCCGGGGTTGCCATTCGCAGCCATCAAAACCACATTAAGCACCTTTAATGTCCAAAACCAAATTGTCCCGGACCAACACATCATGCATGTCCCTTGCCTTTGTCTCATTCTATCATGACTTTGGGAAGTAGGATCCTTATCCTTTGAAGCCTAACATATGGCCTAGTCTCATTGGTTGAGGTATTCTTGATAATGCCTGTCGTTCAAATCTGGAATCCTCTTTCCTCCATTTGCCTCGATAAATCTCCTGGCTCTGATGGTTTCACTATCAAGTTCCGTATCCACTGTGGATCAACCAAATCGAATCAGGATCCAACTCATTTAAAATGAACCATTGTCATCTCTACCCAACCTGATGTCGGTAGCTATGAAATCATATATCTCTTTATGCATTAATAAATGACAATAGTTTTAACTGCACAAAATAAAATATTGGTTTGGTCCGAATCTTGATCATTTGGCCGCACCTGCAGAATATTAATCATCAGCAAAACTCTTCTTATTTTAATGTCACAAAAGCTAGTCTTCTTTAACATTATAAAATGACTCCAGTTGGCAAAGGGAATATGCTGAACTTGATAAGATCAGCTGACTTGACTCAGAAATCTACTGCTACAAAGTTTTTCTTGTGCTTCTTCCT